CCCCCCCCATGCTGGCTCCCCTGGCTTTTGCAGCAACTGTTCCATAGAGCCAGGGTGAAGGGGCACCAAACTTGCCATCAAAATGTGCCCTGCAATTGTCTCCTGGGAGCTTCCTGCCTGGGCAGAGGGGACAGTCAGAAGAGACCACCCCTTTAGGAACCACAAACTCGTCTGAAAGCTCTGGGAGGGCGCCACCTGGAGTCCAAAGACAGCACTGCCAGAGAGGGGGAGAATTTGAGCTGCTTTAACCCACCAGGAAGACAGCCCATGGAGGGAGGTGGGCAGGGGACCACAGGGAGGGAGGGAGAGGCAGACCTGCGCAGCCATATAGCTAACAGATTTATTTTCTTTTCAAATCTAAAATCCTTCAAATCTTTTCCCAAAAAAATGCAGTTTTGGTTAACTAAGGTCATGCTGAGTGATTTATCAACCCTCACTGGAATGGGTCATGAGGAAAAAGCATGAAGGTTTATGCATGAGGGGTGGTACTGGGGTTTGAGCACCTCCTCCTGGTGGCTCCAGGTTCACTCTGCCTTCCAGGTAAGGCTAACTGCTCAGACCAACCCAGGGAGTGGAGGTGGTTCTTCCCTGGTGGCAAGGGACAAGGACTGGGGTGCTGAGCAGCCCCAGACCTGGTGCAGCTCCATTCTACACTCAGGTCTACACGGATGATTCCCTTACACGAACATTTTAAATCACTGCAAACCCACAGGCCATAATGAGTGGCTTTATGGTGCTGACTGCAGCTGTCTTCCCCTTACTAGTTCATAAAGGCAACATCCCCGGATGCCAGGGAAGGCAGGGAGGAGGAAGATTTGCCACTGGGGAGGGGTGAAGCAGGCTGCCCCTGGTAATCATCCCAATGGGACCCATCCTGTCTTTTCTTAATGGGACAGAAGCCCTAGTCTGACTGGTAATTACTAAACAGATGTTCCGGAACTCACAGGCCTCTCCTCAGAGAGCAGGGGAGCCTGGGAATGGCCTGCTGTGGGGGTGGGGATGGCTCTGGGCTGACAAGGTGACATGTCAGTGACAGGCTGGCAGCCAGAGCAACAGCTTCTCTGATAGCTGCACAGCACAGGAGCTTCTGAGGTGCTGCTGGGGTGACAGCATGTCCTCTGGCTAATAATGCTCAGCAGCACAGGACCTGGTCACCCCACCCCTTCCCTCCTCCCTACCAACAACTGCAGTCACTGCTCAGGAGAGCTGTCCCCAGCCCATTCTGTGGGAAGCAGGGAGCTGAGTGAGGCATGCCCTTCCTGCCTGGGCTGTCGGGAAGCTCAGAGGTAAATGTCATAGATGAAGTGCGCAGACTAAGCTGGCTTCCCCAGGCAGCACCGTTGTGTTCTACATGAATGACGTCCCCTCCCCTCTATTGTGCAACAGAGCCCCTCCCACCAAGGGAGGGCTGAAGGTCCTCCATGGGCTGAACTGGGAGGACACTTTCTGCAGCTTAAGCCCCTATTGGCTCCTGTCCCCCAAACTTTCTGTCCCTTTAGCTTCTGGGGCCCTGTACCCAACCTCTCTGACAGTTGTCTCTTTCCCTTCTCTGATGCCTAATTGCTCATATTCCTCAGTAGACCCTCCTCCTTACATCTCTCCCACTCCTAGTTTTACCTCCAACCCTGGACATCTGATCTCCAGCCTGGATACTCCCCCAGGGTGCCCTTTGGACACTTCAGCATCTCCACATCCCTCAACCTGTTCCTCCATGAGACAGTACCAGGTGTCCAGGATAAAGAACTTGTGTTTCTCCCTCTTGCCCACATGCATCAGTCACCAAGTCCAGCCAGCTATGTCTTTTAGATACTCGAATCTGATCCTCCTCTTTCCCAATACTCATGGCCCCGGGACTCTTATACCTACATAGTCACTTTAAATCCACTCCATACTGTCACTGCAGCCCCCAGAGCAAGCTTTCATGAGTATGACCAGGTCATTCCCCTCGGGAAATTCAGTGGCTCCCACTGCCCTCAAGAGAGTGGTCACCTCCCTCGCCTGGCACCCCAGGCACTGGACCAGCTCCCTCCCAACCTTATTTTCTGCTACTACCTCCACCAAACTTGACCCCTGACTTGTCATCCCCTGGCACCTGTGTGCTTCCCACCATAATTCACACTCTCCCCTCCTCCTGGAATGCCCTTCCCAGCACACTGCCACAATCTCCCCTACTGACCTCTTCCCCACCTCACCCCAAGACTGGGCTACATCCTTCTGTCCCGTCCTGCTCAAGAGGTGTTGTGGAAATCACCTGGATCAGTCCCCCAATGAACTGTGAGGTCCTGGAGGCAGGGACTGTGTCTTGGCCATCTTTGTGTTCCCAACACTTAGGCCCACCACCTGGCTCCGAGTGGGCATTCAGTGGACATTGGCTGAACTGACCTGAACCAGGCACATGCATTTACCACTCTTGTAGATTCTGGAATCACCTCTGGCTTTATTGCCCGTTGCCTGATTGCACAGTGTATTTAATTGAACCCACTTCCTCCTACTGTGCAGGAGGAAGAAAGCAGTCTTTTGGCAGGATACCAGCAAATGGAGGGTGGTGCTTAGAAAGGGTGCCCGTGCAGTTCCTGCTGTCCCAAGGTGCCCCCTACCTTTCTCGGGGTCCTCCAGGCTTGAGCGGACGATCTCCACCGCTTTCTCCACCTCCTCGCTTTTGCAGACGTTGAGCTGAACAGTTCTCAGTCGATCACTCTTCAAGCTGTCCAGTTCCTTGGCTCCAACATCCCCTTTGTCCTGGGGAGGAGAGAGGAGCTGCTTCACCCCACTGACTCTAGGATGAGGACAGGGCCAAGGTGGGGGGCTGGCCCAAGTCCCTGCCTAAGCCTGGGGCTGTGGACAACTGCAGGCGGCAGTCTCTGGAGGCCACCTGGGCCTAATCCCTGAGCATTGATCCCTAATCCCTGAGTACCTAGCACCAAACTAAGTGCCACAGACATCGCTATTAGCCCCTAAGTCTTCATTGGCAGCATCGGTTCTCTAAGCAGAGGTTGCAAACTCAATACCTGCAGGGCCAGGCATGCAGGTATCACATGATGAGAAGGGGGACACTCAAGAGTGGAGCACAAGCCTCACCTCTCAATCCCCACCGGCTGTTGTCCACATGTATGTAAGTCCAGGATTGCCAGATGCTTAGGTTTTAAGCTTGTAATTGGGATTTCTGTGTAAAATCTCCTAATTTTTTACGTGTTGGCAACTTATTTGGGTTCTCTAAAAAAAAACCAATATGTGGGCCAAAGCACACCCACAGGCCACATGTGACCAGCAGGCTGCCTGTTTGCCACCTCTTTTCTAAGCCAAGGGTCTGCCACCCACAGGTTGGTAAGAGGCCAGGGCCAGGCTCTGCTGCCAGTTTGGTCACTAACGAGGTGCCTGGTTTTTCCAGCTACAGTTAGTCATAGGACATCACCACCTGTCCTGACCTGCTCAGGTAATGGAATGAGGAAATTGTTTTTTTAAAAACCTATTAAATGACCAAGTGCTACGCAAATTCAGGTGTTATTACACACATGAGAAAGTATCACTCAGCAAACATGTCCTGGGCCTCTCTTATGTTCTTGCACTGAGCTAAGTACTGGAGGCACAAAAATAAATAACTAAGATACGTAGCCCCTGTTCTCAAAGAGCCACGTTTCAGGGAAGGAGGCAGACGAGCAGCACACAATACAAGGAGTGTTTGCTGCAGGAAACCTGGTGGGAGCGAGGGCTGCACCGAAGCTGTGGCGGACAGGGAAGGCTTTCCAAAGGCAGCGACAGTGGAGGACATGAATGGGGCACTTCGGGCAGGGGCGCGAAGGCGCTGCCAGAAGCCACTGCAGGAGGAGCAGAGGCCTGAGGACGTTGTGGGACATGAGGCTGAGGGGACAGCAGGCAGGGGTCTGCATGGGGCAGTGGGAGCTGCTGGAGGATGTGAATAAAAGCAGACGTCACTTATTGAGCATTTACTGTGCTTCGTGTTGTGCTGAGCACTTGACATGCATCATCTATTGGTCCTCACACACAAGGCAGGCTGTGTTGTCATACTCATCTGTTCTATGACACATATTTTCACAATAGGAATGAGCTACAAACAGGTGAAAACACTGTCAATCATTGAATTGGTGGTGACTTTCTCAATGGTGCATGGAGCAGAGGACAGGAGTGGCTGCCAGAGGATGAAGTGATGGGAGATGCCTACTCTCGGTCCACGGCTTGTCCCAGGACACACAGCCGGTACCGAGGCAAGAGCCAGAGCAGGAAGCACAAGGAGGGTCCAAATGTCTGTGGAAAGTTCTCCACAGGTTAGGCTGAGTCCTGCATAAGTGATTTGAGCCAGGAGGACCCAAACCCCAGGGCTGGAGTTCAGTGCCACAGGGATGCAATGTCAGAAGGACTCAGGGGAGAACGGTGAAGGGACCGTGTGAAATGGGGCCAAAGGTATGGAGATCGTCATTCTGGACAGAAGGCTTAGGGAGAACATGATGGCAAGGGAGCCAACTTGTCCTGTGCGGCCCAAAACAGAACCAAGGCCAAGAAGTCAAATTCAGCTCAAAATGAGGAGTGACTTTCACAGCCTGGAGGTGGCATGGACTGCCTAGGAGGTGTTCAGACAATAAGGCTGGTGTGGGGAACGTAGTACAGAGAAAACCCAGCATCAGGCAGGTGGTCAGGCTGATCTCCCTCCTCTAAGATCTCTTCCACCCCTAAATTGCCATCTTCTCCAGGGAGCCCCCCTCAGTGGCCCTACTGAAGAAGCAACATGTGTGACCCCTTGAGTCTCTGTCCAACCTGGCACCAGAACGGCAGCTACACCCAGAATCACATCTGCATAGAGCAGCCAGGTGTGAGGCTCAGTTCATGCAAGGCTGGGCTCTGAACCCCCTGGATGTGCCACCTTCCCAAATGACACGGCAGGTGTTCCATCTACAGGGGAGCAGACAGGCCTGGAGTTTCTGCTGCTGTTCCCAGAGAGGGCTCCAGAAAAGAATCCCCAGGACACCACCTTTGAGTCCAAAGGCTGGAGGGGCTGGTGCCACAGACACCTCTCTTTTCCACACACAGCACACAGGCACAAAGAAAACACGTCTTGTTCTAATGCAGTCCTTGATATCATGGCTCCTCAAATGCCCCTTGGAACCCAGACCAAGTAATTTAAGTCTCCAAGGGGATTCTGACAACAACTTCCAACAGGATAGATTCCAGCTGAGATGCACAAGAGGTACCTGTGTCCTTTCCGCTTCCCAGGCTTTGTTAATCCTTCTGCCATCTGTTAGCAATTCCTGGACGCCACCCAAGACCTCTCCCCGTGCCTCTAGCCAGCATGGAGCCAATGTTCCCGCAGTTCCCAGGAGAAGCCTCTCCCCTAGGTCAGAGTGTCCACATGAACTTAATTTGGCAGCTAAAAGCTTTCTCTCAAAGGAAACTGGGGGTTCATCTCACTGCCCACAGCTTTAGGCTCAGCATTCAGGGCCCCAGGAGGGAAACCCCACCCTCTTACCTTTACCTCAGACCTCCCCAGGAGTCCTCATCCATCTCTGCAGCCTGCACACCCTGCTCCTAACAGCCACCTCAACAGGGAAGGGGACTGTCATTCTGCCCCAGCTGTTCAAAGGAAAGCTTTCCCAATGGCCCTCAGTCTGTGGGCTGCAGACTACGGTGGCCCTTCCCCTTGCAGATCCGCCTGTCCTCAGGCCAAGGCGCACTGCCTGGGCCACACCACCTCCCTGGCGCCCAGTTTCTTTGTGCACATCTGTCTGCTGCTCAGAGATGAGCTTCCAGTCCTGCTGTGTTGGTGCCTTTGTGAGGGGTAGCACCTTCTTTAACTAAACCCTTTAAACTTCATCTGTAAGCTGTGTTTTCCACCCCTGGGTGCAATTTCAGGCAAGTCTTACAACTTTTCCACTCCTCAGACAACAGAAAACCTCTTTGTTTTGGCATAAAGAGTCTAGTTCAGTCTGCTAATCAAATAACTCCAGCCCAGCCCAGTTTGAAAACCCAAATTCTCAAACTTGTATCCAGTTCAGAGCCTGCCCTGCCCCAGGCCCGCAGCGTGGGACGCCAGGCAGCAAGGGCAGAGCTGTCTTACTGCGCTCCAGCTCCTCCTCCACTCTTATTCCTTAATCCCAGACCCTCACAGGGTTGGATCCAGGGGCTGACAAATGAGGGAGCAAGACTGTAGTCTTCTGAGGGTGGTACCATTGCTGTCTGCTGTGGGCGCCCTGGGACAGCAGATGCAGGAGGGCTGGCCCTTCCTCCCTGAGGCACTTTTGTGGGTTCCTCAAAGATCCCTCCACTGGAGACTCCCCTGCCCTTCTCTCCTCCCGATGGGCATCTTCTCCCTCAGCGCAGGATTCCAGGAACCACCCCTCTGGCTGGGTCACATGGACCCGCTAGGAGTTTCACTGGGTAGGTGCCCTTAAGATGATCCCAGGAGCTCTCCCATTATCCACCTTAGGTTCAGGCAAGGTAGAAGGACAGCCCTTCCCCTATGAAGCTCTCTCTGCTCTGCTTCCAGAGGAGCCACTCCAGCCTTTCTTCGGCCTTTAAATTTCTTTTGGTAAATATTAACACCTCATTCTGTGGCCTCAGACTCCAAGGCACCATGGTAAGCTCTCCAAGAAGTTCTCTTGAAACCAGCTTCATTTTACTTGAGACCAGATAGAAAACATCACAGCACACTAACAACTCTTTCCAACCTCTCCACCTCCTCCACCTCCATGTAATACTGCCGTGAGGCAGGTGATGGGCTCAGCCTGGCAGAAAGGTTTCAGTCTCCCAGCATTTATTGTTAGTGGTCTAGCACCTCAAGGCAGGGTCTAAGGACACTCACCACATGTTACATGTGAGCATCTTGTCAAATGTATTAGAAACACTGTGACAAGAGAAGCAAGCCTAGGGCATTGTACTAGTTATAGGAGGAGCAGGCAAAGAAGATGAAGAGAAACCAAGAGAGCAGGGTTCCACAAAGTCAAAAAACAGTGTTACAAACATGAGTAGTGTGGTCAAGTTTGCTGATGGGTTGAGTATGACATGGTCTGAGGAATGACTAATAAATCTGACAAAATGGGGACTTTGGGCATCCTTGATAAAAGCCGTGTCAAAGGCATTCGGGTCCCCTTCTGGTCCGGTCCTGCCCTCCTTTCCCAGCTCATCTCCTCTTCTTCCATGAGGGCACTGGGCATCCTGTTCACCCTTCCAGAAGGTGATGAGATGCCACCTTGGCCCGTCAAGCCCTCCTTATGATCCCAGAGAGAGGCAGGAAAAGAAGATTGGGGGTGGGGGGTGAATGTGGTAGATGGTGTGTTCAGTTTTAAAGAGGGAAGAAAAGGCCTCACCAGGAAGGTGTGACATTGGAAGGAGGTGAGGGAGCAAGTCTTGCAGGTATCTGGGAAAGAAGAGACAGCCAAGCCCAAACCCAAGGAGGGTGTTGCCTGGTGTGTTAAAGAGCAGGAGGCCTCTGTGCCTGCAGCCTCTTGAGTAAGGGGGAGGAGTATGCGGTGAGAGTGGCAGGGGTGGGGATGTGGGGGGAGGAATATAAGTTTATGTATCAGAGAAGGAGTCCAGAAATAAACCCTCACACATATAGTCAAATGATTTTTGACAAGGACCATTTAAAGGGAAAGGACAGTCCTTTCAGAAAATGGTGCTGGGAAAACTGGATATCCACACGCAAAAGAATGAAGTTGGACCCTTACCTAACAACAAATATAGAAATTAACTCAAAACGGATCAAGGAGCCCTGGCCAGCATGGCTAGTGGTTAGAGCCCTGGTCCACGCACTGAAGGGTCTCAGGTTTGATTCCTGGTCAAGGGCATGTGTCTGGGTTGCTGGTTCACTCCCTGCCCCCAGTCAGGGCATGTGCAGGAGGCAACCAATCGATGTGTCTCTCGTATCTATGTTTCTCTCTCTCTTCTCCTCCCTCCCTTCCACTCTTTCTCTGAAAAGCAATGGAAAAAATATCCTCAGCTGAGGATTAACAACAACAAAAATGGATCAAGGACATAAATGTAAGACCTAAAACAATAAAACTCTTAGAAAAAAACATAGGACAAAAGCTTCATAACATTGAATTTGACAGTGATTTCTTGGATCTGACACCAAGAGCACAGGCAACAAAAGAAAATAGACAAACTGGGCTTAATAAAAATATTTAAATTTTGTACATCAAAAGACACTGCCTACAGAGTAAAAAGACAACCCCCAGAATGGGAGAAAATGTTTGCAAATCATATAACTGATAAGGAATTAATATCCAGAATATATAGGGAACTCCTAAAAAGCAACAACAACAAAAACCACCCAATTCTAAAATGGGCAAAGGGCTTAAACAGACATTTCTCCAAAGAGAATGAATGACTAATGAGCACATGAAAAGATACTCAGCATCACTAATCATTAGGGAAATGCAAATCAAAACTACAATGAGACATCACCTCACACACATTAGGATAGCTAATATCTAAAAACAGAAAACAAGTATTGGCAGGGATGCAGAGAAATTAGAACCCTTGTGCACTGTTGATGGGAAAGTAAAACGGTACAGCTGCTGTGAAAAATAGTTTGACGGTTCCTCAAAAAATTAAAAATAGAATTACCATATGACCAAGTAATTCTACATCTGGATATATGTTCAAAAGAATTGAAAACAGGGATCTTAAAGAGAGATTTGTACCCTCATGTTCATAGCAGCATTATTCACAGTAGCTAAAATGTGGAAGCAACTCCAATGTCCATCAACAGATGAATGGATAAGTAAAATGTAATATATACATATGATGCAATATTATTCAGCCTTAAAAAAGAAATTCTGTAATATGCTACAACATGGACAAACCTTGAAGATATTACACTAAGTGAAATAAGCCAGTCATAAAAAGGCAAATACTGTATGATTCTACTTACATGAGGTACTTAGACAATGTAACTATATTTAATACCACTGTACACTTAAAAATGGTTAAGGTGGTAAATTTTATGTTATGTGTATTTTACTACAATTAAAAAAAAAAACACTACAAAACAATTACTATGTGTAAAGGACAATGGTGACAAAGATGACCCATCTCTTACCTTCATCAAGCAGCCAGCAAACACAAGGAAGCCTTCTGAATGCAGATGCTTGGCCAAGGAGAACCCAAACCCAGAGTCACAGCCTGTGACCAGGACAGCTTTGCTGCCAGCCTATTTTAGAAGATAAGACTTCACGTGAGAAACCAGGATCCTGAGGGCGGAGTGACTAGTCCTCCTCTGGGCAGTAACAACTAGTCTTCCCAAGTGAACCAGGCCTGGCCCTCCCTGCCTGGCTCTTTCTGTCTGGAGATACACCATAGTCTAGTAGGAAAAGCTTGGACTCAGAATCAGAAGACAGGGTTCTAACCCAGACTCTGCCATCAACTAATAATGTTACTTGAGGTGCCCTTTCTGGACCTCAGTTTTCTCACCTGCAATCACCATCGTCTCCATCACCATAATCACTGTCATCTTTGTCATTACTTACCATGTGCAAGGCACTGTGCATGCATTATTCTTAATTCTCATAATAACTCCATATAGTAATTATGATTATTATGCCATGCTATGCGTGAGGAGCCAGATACTTTTTAAATGTCCAACATGCTAAGTGATAGAAATGGAACTGAAACCAGGCCTATGAGAGTCTAGAGTCTAAACTCTTAACCTCTAAAACTTACTTGATGGGAGGTCAGGGAGGTGGGGTGGAGGTTAAGAATATGAGAAAGTGGATCTGAGTGTCCTGGAAGCCCTGAAGCCCTGCTCTGAAGGTGGCTCAGGGCCAGGGGCCCAGAGGGAAGGGCTCTGACCATCTGGCTGGTTCCCAGGTAGCTGGGCTGCCACTCACCGGGTTCACTGCATCAGCATAAGTGCGACGACCAGCAGGGACGAAGGAGGCAGAGTAAAACAGCAGTGTGTGCCTGCAAGAAAAAAGGAAGCCATGAGCACAGGCTTGTTCCTGGGGCAGAAGCAACTCAGAGTACTCTCAGCCACCAGTGAGCAGCACTGCCTGTGTCCCCACCCAGAGCCCCCAGGGACATCCTGCTGGTACTACAGAGGAAGAGGTCCTCTTTCTTCCAGGGTTTGCTAAGCTGGTAGAAAGTGGGCCATCAGTTGCCATGACTATTTTTGCCACTGTGTAGGAAGAACTTTCAGCTTTGTTAACAAAGCCTTCTGTAAATTCACATCTTAGACCTTGGGTTTTATCCTGCTTCCTGATAGTTTTTTACATTTAACTTTTTATTTTGAAATAATTGTAGATTCACTGCAGTTAAAAAATCATAGAGATGCCCTGTGCATTTTACTCAATTTCCACTAATGTTAACATCTTGCAAAACTATAGTACACTATCACAACCAGGATGTTGACATCAATGCAGTGAAAATCCAGAACATTTCCATCACCATAAGGATCCCTCCTGTTACCCTTTTATAGCCATACCCACTTCCCTCCCAACCCACATCCTCTTTAACCAGTAATCTGTTCTCCATCTCTATAATTTTGTCATTTCAAGAATGTTATATAAATGGAATTTTATACTATGTAATCTTTTGGGATTGCTTTATTATTTTGTTTTTTATTGAATGTATTGGGGTGATATTGGTTAATAAAATTATATAGGTTTCAGGGGTACAATCTATAAGACATCATCTATATATCGTATTGTGTGTTCACTATCCCAAGTCAAGTTTCCTTCCATCACCACTTATCACCCCTTTACCCTCTCCTACCTCCCCCTCCCTCACTTTCCCTCTAATAATCACCATACTGTTATCTGTCTAACAGGGGTAAGGAACATCCAGACATTCAGCCAGCGGGCCAAATACAGCCCGGGAAATCATTTGCTCTGGCCCTGCCAAGGCCTCAGCAAAGAGACGCAGTTCCAGCCATCATATTAGGGGTGAGTTAATTAAACGTTTGACCAAATATAGCAGACTAATTTTTAAGTTGATAATTTTATATGGCCTGCAAATGATGTTATAAATATCTAAATGGCGCTTGGCAGAAAAAAGGTTTCCCACCCCTGGTCTATGAGGTGTTTGGGGGTTTTTTGCTTAATCTTTTCCCCCTTTTCACCCAGTTCCCCTTCCCTTCCCCTCTGACAGCTGTCGGTCTGTTTTCTGTATTTATGTCTGTTCTTACTTTGTTTGTTAGTTTGTTCATCAGATTCCACATACAAGTGAAATCATATGGTACTTGTCTTTGTCTGGCTGGCTTATTTAACTTAGCACAATACTCTCCAAATCCATCCATGCTGTTGCAAAAGGTAAGGTTTCCTTTTTAGGGCCAAGTAGTATTCCATGGTGTAAATGTCCCACAGCTGTTTTATCCACTCATCTACTGATGGGCACATGGGCTGCTTCCAAATCTTAGCTATTGTAAATAATCCTGCAATGAACATAGGGGTGCATATATTCTTTCAAATTAGTGTTTTGGGTTTCTTTGGATATATTCTCAGAAGTGGAATCACTGGGTCATAAAATAGTTCTATTTTTTATTATTTTGAGGTAACTTCATACTGCTTTCACAGTGGCTACACCAGTCTGCATTCCTACCAGCAGTGCACGAGGGTTTTCATTTATTGATTTATTGATGGTAGCCATTCTGACAAGTGTGAGGTGATATGTCAGTGTGATTTTAATTTGCATTTCTCTGATGATCAGTGACATTGAGCATCTTTTCATATGTCTGTATGTCCCCTTTGGAGAAGTGTCTATTCAGGTCCTTTGCCCATTAAAAATTTTTATTTATTTATTGATTTGAGAGAGAGGAAAGGAGAGAAAAAGAGAGAGAGAGGGAGAGAGAAACATTGATTTGTTCCACTTATTTATACATTCATTGATTGATTCATGTATGTGTCCTGATTGAGGATTGAACCCACAACCTTGGGGTATCGGGACAAAGCTCTAACCAACTGAGCTGCCCAGCCAGGGCAGACCTTTGCCTATTTTTTAATTGGATTGTTTGTTTTTTTGATGTTGAGTTTTTAAAGTTCTTTATAAATTTTGGATATTAGCCCCTTATCAGATGTATCAGCGAATATGTTCTTGGGATTGCTTTTTTCACTCAACATCAATGTGGAGATTCATTGAGATTGTTCCATTTATCAATAATTTGTTGTATCCAAAGTCTGAGGGCTGTGTGGAGCCAATAAGAAGAGCAGGCTGTCAGGTGTCAGGGCAGAGACCACATCCAGACACTCCCAGGGAGGTTTTTATCTGGATGGACAGTGTGTACTGGGTGACTGCTGCACACTGGGTATCTGGTGAGGCAGATACACATGGGAAGGGGTGGGTGGTGGTCTGTTCAGGGCATCACATCTCAAAAAGGAGCTCAGGCCAAATGGACATCATTCAGATGGGAGACCTGGGTGCTGAGTGGGGCAACCATGGGAGATGAGCAATGAAAAAAAATGTAGATAGAATGAGAACTCAGGGGTGGAGTGGGGTATCGGGGTGCCATGGTGACCCTAGGGATAAAATATGAACTTGTTCAGTATGAATGGAGAGGGAAGACAGGAACAGGAGGCCTGCTGTGAGAGGTACTGACCACCCTATGGCTAGAGATATAAGGCTGGGAGGTCAATTATTAAGGATGCTGTCACAGGATCCACCCACAGGTGGGGACAGGATTACGAGGCCCCTATCAATGGAGATGTAGCAAAATGACCAGGCCAAGTTCTTCCCTACCCAAAGACCTCCTTTCTGATCCAGGCTCGGCGGTCCCTTCCATCCTCTCCACACACTAGGTCTCCCTCCAAGACCTCCGCTGACACCTTTGCCCTAAGGACAGCTAACGCCCTCTGACTCAGCTCTGCCGCTGACCACCCTGCCCACAGCCCCCGCCACCTAACCAGTTATTTCTACAATCCTTCCAGAAGATTCAGAATCTCCCATGACAGTCTTTCTTTCCCCTCAAATGACTAATACACTTCCCTTTGAGGATAAAACCTTTGTAAAAAGAAAAAAAAGAAAAAGAAAAAAAAAACCTTTGTAAAAGTGTTTAACTTCCTTTGGGATTATTGTCTTCTCTAATAAAAAATAACCTCCAGAAATCTCTAAAAGCCACTTTGGGGACAGATTTTGCCATTTCTATGAATCACTCACTGAGAAAGAATTGCAGTAAATCACCTTCCTCAAAAGCCCTTCAGCAGAGCCAGGCTCCGTTCCCTCTTCGATGAGATGTCACCTCTGCTGGAAGGGCCATTTTAACTCTTGTTATACGGTATCCTCTGGTAGTTGAAGCCCCATCTCCAAGCAAACTGCTGTCTCCCGGGGAAATGGTTTTAAGCAAATGCTGCTATAAGCCTAAATGCATGTTCTTCCAAACATATTTATTGGCATAGAAAATACTCATCAATTTTCTAGCTGCTGGGACTTTGAATTTAACCTAACAATTTCGCTCCTCTTAAATATAAAGAAAAAAGCATTGTTTTTTCCTTGCTCTGGCTTCAACAGAGGAAAATGAGGTAGCAAAGTGCATTGAATCCCCTTGGAAAAGGCAACCCCAAAGCTGCCAAAGAAGAGGTGTTTCTTTAATTTGTACTTAGCTTTCTCTGAACACACAAGCAGTTCAGTGAAATCTCAGGATATTTTAGTTAACTGGCTGCTTGTGTAAGGTTTGTTTGATCCAAGTGATGAGACACACCAGTGCCCCGTGCCTCCTGATGCGATGCACTGAGAAGACACACCTCACCTGGGTGGCACCTTCCAAACCAGAATACCTGATTTCAAACACAAGGAAAGCACACAAACCCCAACTGAGAGACATTCCTCCAAAGAGTCAAGGTCAAGAACCACAAAACTCAGGAACTGCCCCGATAGGAAGAGAGTAAGGAGCCATGACAACTAAAGGCACTGTGGGGCCCTGGTTTGTATCCTGGACCAGGAAAGGTCCATTAGTGGGACATCTGACAAAATTTGAATCAGGTGTGTAGGTTCACTAACATGTATCAGTGGTAATTTCCTGGGTTTTGTGACTGCACTACAGTTTTGCAAGATGTCAACATTCGGGGAAGTTAGGTGAAGAGGACATGGAAACCCTTTGTATTATTTTGGCAACTTTTGTATCAGTGTAGTTATTTCAAAATAAAAAGTTAAAAAATCTGATGAAAAATATTCTTCTGTGCCCTGTGTGCCCTGGGAAGGTCTCTCTCTTCTGAGGACGCCTTTGAGTTTCCTTTGCTGGTCCACGGCGGAGACTAAGAGATACCCTGAGAGTCAGGCCTTACAACCACCAGCATCATCCATGTGGAAGAGCTCTCTATGCTTTGCCCAGAAAGTATGACCCTCAAGGATTTCACCCTTAAGGTTCTTACCTTGTTCCATCTTCTGCACCAGAGAAACTCAGGGTTTTCCCAGGGAGCTTTGACAGGGGTCTGTAGAGGCGGGCGGTCAGCATTGTGGCCACAGGAGGTAGAATGATCAGCCTCTTCCTGGTGGGTCTGAAACACAAAATGCACCCTCAGCATTGCTTTGTTGCCTACAGAGGTTCAGGCAGGAGGGGCCATTTTTCTTCCAAGTTGCAAAAATCAAATTGGGCCCTGTCTGTTTGGCTCAGGTCCGATCAGGTAGACCTGTCCTGTAGCTTCCTCTCAAGCTGCAGCCTCACTTGATGGAGTCAGGACATCTAGAAACCTGGGTCCTGGTTCTGGCTGTGCCACCAACTCACTGGGCAAGCCTGGACAAGTCATCACCCATTTGCAGCATGAGAGGGTGGACCATTCCAGTGATCCTCACACCAGGCCCTGAAGCAACCACTGGGGACTCAGGGGCCCACCTCTCAGGGATTCCAACTCCATGAGCTTCATACTCTGTGCTCTCGATATCCGGCAAATCACCAACCTGTGTGGCCCAGGACACCAACCTTCACTCTCGATTTGCCCACATGCCTCCTAGGCAGCTTTTCCAGCCCCACACCATGTATCATTTGAATCAGCTCTTCATCTCTCTCTCCAGCCCCACCAAACACATGGACTGGCTCTGAGGCTAAATTCATCAGAAACTCATTATAGCATGGGGACTGGAGTTATTAAATGAGACATGCTTTAATCAACCTAAATTAAAACACTCTACCCCTTTCACGGTTAAACCAACTTTAACTGCAACAAGGCCATGTAGACTTAGTATCTCCTTAAGGCTACTCAGCACCTACTTGTGTATATTAACTGTGGATCAGGGTGTGGATTGGTTGCCTTTCTGTTCTGGTCAATTATTATGACGGTTCCTCCTGGCCTCTGGGAAGGAAAGGAAGACTGGGAGGGAGTGGAGCAAGGAAACCACCGCCCAAAAAATGTTGCTCTTTTCCAGGTGAACTGTCCCTTTACACACTTGCCTGTGGTTGGTTACGTACTGTTCGTATCAGCACAAGGTTCTGCCTGCGAGGCAGCTCCTCCCCTGCCTTTTTGCTGTCACCCAAACCTAACTGGGCCAACAGGTCTATAGCACGTTCACTAACTAGGCAACCACTGCAAACTCACTGCAGGAGGCAGGTGGAGGTTTAATCTGTTTAATCCTCAGGAAAGGAAAACAAACAGGGATCGCTAGGCTCCTGCTTTCCCTCCTGCTCCTGCTCACCTCACTCCATTGCCGGCACTGCAGTCAAATTATGTGACTCCCTTGCCTAAAAGCCTTCCCGTGCCTGCTGGAATGATCTCTGCCTTCCTTCCTAACCTTGTCTGATACCACCCACCCCTGTGCTCACTGCACTGTTATTCTGGAAGTTTCTCACGTATACCAAGATCTTTCCAGCCTCAGGGCCCTGGCCCTTGTTCTTCCTCACTCCAGATGGCTGAGTCCTTCTGACCCTTCAGACTTCGCAGAGGCTGTCCCCAACCCCCCATGCAACACACAGGGGTTGCTCTCTATAAGATCACACTTCAATTCAAAATTATCTTGTTTCACTACTTTATCTTCCCGTTCTAGGTCATGAGCTTGGTGAGTCCAGGCACCTTGTTCATCTTGAATCCCCCACCACCACCACGCCTGACACCAAGGAGGCCCTCAGTGAGTCTGCTGAGTGGAGATGAGCTGTGTGCTCAAGGACGCCCCCCAACCCCCCTCCAGACCCACCCTCCATCAAAGGCCCATGCCCATGATGCCCCTGACAGACTCAGATTCTTTAACTGGGTGACCCCACCATCCCACCCAAGCACTGACAAGCTGGCTGAGGACACACATCTCCTCCTCCTCTCCCCAGAACTGGAGTCTGAGGTCACCACCACTGGGTGATTTCAAATCCAGTTGTCTATAATTAAAGCCCTTTCTATCCCTTATGCTCAATACTTGTGGCTTTGAATTTAATTTTCCTTCGAGTCAGCAATGTCTAAAAGTGCTGCAGGAGTCAAAATAGTTTAAAGTGCACAAAAGCTCACCCCTTGAATAACGTACTATTCAAAACGTTGTCTTATGTGCAGAATGGCAGACTTGTAAATCTCTTTTTAGTCTTCTTAAGTTTCTTAAACATGTTGCCATTTTCACTCAGAATACAATACTGTGGGCAGTGGGATTCCCACATACTCTTCAGGGTTGTCATCTTAATGCCTTGTGCTGGACTTCTTTCTCTGTAAATATTAAGTTCTCAAGCCTGAAATGCCACTCACTTGCCTTTTGGGTTAGAATCAGAAATGGCTGTGGGAGGTAGGCGCTAAAGAATGGCAGAGCAAC